GGTGTTGGTTCACCGCTTACCCCAGAGTATCGACTGCCAGTATAAAAAGAAGTGGTGCCAGTGGACACCCTTGACGTATTCCGGAATTTACATTCCATTTTGTTCTAGCAATATCCATTTACTAGGAATTGTGCTGTGGTCCCTTCATGGAGCTGTCTGATCACGTTGGTAAAATCTTCTGAAAATCCGTACTCGCGCAGTACTTTGAACATATAGTTTCTGTCCAGTGTGTCGTAGGCTTTCCGTAGATCTAGGCAGCGTACCGCTGCGCTGTCTTCCCAAGGTATTTCCGGTTTAGATTCACTGTTTTGGAGTGCAGATCTGAGAATTGTGACCGTCTTGTCAATGGACCGGCCTCTGATGAAGCCTTGCTGTGAATTGCTGATGAGCTTCGGTAGCAGTAAGTGAAGTCGCTGAGCGAGAATTTTCCAAAGATTTTGTAGGCTGTGTTAAGCAACACTATCGGTCGATAATCCATGGCATCAGCTGAATCACCATTTTTGCTAAGTGGAATTATGGTAGCATCCAGAAATGAAGTGGGTACACCTCCCCTTTTAAAATCATATTGTAGAGACTGGTAAGACTCGGGGTGAGTTGGGTAGAGAAATCTATATAGAAGTCGTGGTTCAAGCCTGAAGTTCCAGCCGATTTGTGCCGTTCGAGATGATTAATTGCTTTCCAGGTTTCATCTTCAGTTATTGGTTCCATCAACTTAAAGAGGTCCGTAGAATTCACCTTCTTTTCGTTCTCAATGCTGACAAATTTGTCAAATTCCTTTGCCAAGGAATTTGCTGGCACGGTGGCATGAGATATCCACAGTATATGATTCCACTCAGACGCCATTCTCTCCTCGGTCGGGAGGTCTGCTGCGTAGAAATGCCCTGGAGACGGTTGAATTGAGCTAATAGGCTGGTCTCGTTGCCATTCTGAGTTCTTTTTTTCGCTGGTCCTCGACCTTAGAGATAATCCATCGCTACAAGCGAATCCGTGATGCTATTAGGCAGGTTGAAGCTGTTGAGGAGTTTATACCCACGGGTGCCACGCACAAGAAAGTTGTCGGGCTCCTGGAGCACCTCAAGAAGCTGGACAGTGTATGCAAGGTGCTCCAAGATGACAGGACGGCCATGGCGGATGTTCGTGTCCTGTTCGACCCATTGATCGACGACTACCTGGTCATGGCCAGTCACCAACGTTTGAAGGCGCTTTGGTCAAGGTGATCAACGGTGGAAGCCTAACTGCATCGGAGGCTCGCGCGTTGCACCGCTTCGAGGTGGGGGTGGATACGTGCGGTAGCAAGCGAAAGAAAAGAGGACAGCTACGCGGTCGAAATTCTCCGAGGGAGCAAGAAGAAGCGCAACGCTGTGGCACAATCGGTGAGCTACAGCGAGCTTGCGAAGATGGTGCCTCCAACCTCGAATACGGTTGAGCGCCTCTTCTCGCAATGCAAGCTGATTTTGACGCCCCAGTGTGCGTGTTTGTTGCCTGCCAACTTCGAAATTCTGGCATTTCTGCGAGTCAACCGCGACTTGTGGAATGCATCAACTCTTGTTGACGTCGAGTAGCGAGGTATACGATGAAATTGGCCTTCTATTTGATTTTTATGTTGTTTTTTTT